AAAGCATGTTGGTACAGAGGAGAACGAGCCAAGGACAGTGAGGCAAAGCGAGTATGCAATCCCAGCAAGACGAGCTACCAATTTCCACTCCTGGGAAGGGTTCAAGTTAGGAATGCATGGACTTTCTTTCAACAATAAATCACAGGTTTTCTGCAATTTTTTCGATTGAGAATTCGTTTTAGTAAGAAAATGGGGGTGCTACAAAAAAGACCGGGTTTTCTGCCAGTTGTGCTAGTCCGCCTTTCAGTTGGGCCCTTGTTCTCCTCCGGTCTTCCTCCCTTGATGGCTCTGCGAGGCTAGCATTAGCGTAGGAGGGGGGTGTGATTGAATATTCCTATAGAATGATTTGTATTCTTAAGGTTTCTTAAGGTAGCAAGGTGAAATCTTCATGAGGCCATAAAATCGTTCGACCGGGGTATCTACGATTGTAGATGTTCGTTGAACACCTAATTGAGTAAGTTCCTTTTGAGTAGACTCCCGTGGTCTTCTGCTAACAAGAATAGCTTTTATCTTTCCCCGGAAATGGGGTTTTCTAATTATGTATGTAATTTCGGATTGATCGTCTATCGGTGCCACGGACCACTACTCTATCGCACTACGAAAGATCTTAATACCCCCTTAGTGGCGTTGAATAAGCTCTTTGCCCCCCATCAGCAAGCAGAATCTAATGCGCTCATCGACCTCTATCAAGATAGGGCGCTTCTGAGCAACACGCACGGAGAATAAACCTGCTTTTCAAGCGATTCCAGTAGGAGTCCATATTGAAAGCAGTTCAATGTAAAAGCACACTACTCGGCTCAGCACCTTTGCACCTTTGTCGTGCGGACTCCTTCAGCGGGCGGCCTAACTTGGGTCAACATACGATGCTCGCGAATCCTTACCAATAGGTTGGGGAGTTAGGGCGGATTAATTGCATATGTAGTCACCTATAATAGTTGTACTCTTCGCTGTCCTCGTTGACTTGTTAGCTCTTTAGCGGTATTCATAGCGATGACGGAGACTAGGAATTCTGACTTTCAGGCAGCAAGTCATTTTGTCTCTGTAATCAATGAATTAATACCGAGAGACAAAAATGCCTGTGGAAAATCTCCTTCGTCTGCTCCTTAGGGTTATTAGGGGCCCTTCTTAGCTACGCGGTCTAAAGACCCTCACTTACTTAAAGCCCTTGTTAAGGGTGGACCAAACAACTCTTTGCAACACGGCATTCGTCGATTCCTTTGCCAGCAGAGAATAAGGCTCCTTAAAAAGGGTCTTGTCCACTGTGCCGATTTCCGACTGGGATACTAGTTTCACCTGACAACCCCTTACACAGACAAATAAAAAACTAACACTACCTGAGCATACGCTGGAGTAAGGCGAAGGACACGAAGTGGGCGAGCTGCGTAGCAGCGAAGGACACGGGGCGAGGCGTTAGCCGAAGAGTTCGTGCGTTGAGGGCAAAGTATAATGTGAATGGAGACTTTATCAGGTATGCTGTGCTCGGGGAAAGAAACAACACAAATTGGTCTTTTTCTTGGAAATGCTTGGTGAAAGCGGGTAGATGGCTTGCGGAAGGACTAAGGCGCAGAGTGGGTGATGGGTCCACGATATCTTTTTGGTATGATAAGTGGCTTGATGAGCCTTTGGTTGATAAGATATTACCTGTGCCGGGATATGTGGACGATAGCGTGTTGGTGTCACAGTATATCACTAATGGGAAATGGGACGCTGATCGTATTTTATTGGAGCTTCCTATGGAGGTGGCGAGCTTGGTATATGGTTATCCCTTAGCAAGGTTGGGAAATTTGGAAGATACGTGGGTGTGGAGTGGCTCTTCAAATGGGATATATACTTCACGTTCTGCCTATATGGCTTTAATGGATCAGGATATTGATGAGCCTGAAGTTCCGTGGGGGAAATTGTGGAAGCTTGCGGCACCGGCGAGATGGGTTTTCTTCTTGTGGTTAGTCTTTAGGGAGAGGATCCTGACAAATTCCTTGAGGTTTCGTAGGGGTATGGGTGACTCGGAGTTGTGCCCTCTGTGTCGTTGTGAAGTTGAAACGACTTTGCATGTATTAAGGGACTGTCCGCATGCGACGTCCCTATGGAGTTTATTGGTGGTATCTCAGCAATGGTCTTTATTTATGAACAGTTCCTTGAGGGAATGGCTTTCTATAAACCTCTTTGGAGGGCTTAATTTGGGGCCTGATTCTTCTAGTTGGCATGCAACATTCATAGCTGCAATATGGCGCTTGTGGACTAGACGGTGCAAATTTCTTTTTGAGCCAGAGAATACGACTTTGGATGCTGCTATGTTAGTGGAAAGTATCAAGCGAACTACTACTGAGATGGGTTTGGCTTATACTACTTTGCCTAAAATTGTCAACCATGCCCTTATCATTGCTTGGTCTCCTCCTACCCCTGGCTTTGTGAAATTGAATACCGATGGTGCGTCGTTTGGCAACCCAGGGAGTGCCGGGGCTGGTGGCCTTATACGTGATAGCGTTGGTAATTGGTTGGTGGGGTTCCGCTTACACCTTGGTGTTTGTACAAATATGGTAGCGGAGATGGAGGCGGGACTTAACCAAATAGGGCTGTTACTTGCTTGGGATGAAGGATATAGAAAGGTAATCTGTGAATTGGATGCTCAGGTGGTTATTGACCTTTTCTTGAATGCTGAGGTTCGATATAATTGACCTTTGAGTAGTTTAATTACTGATGTTAGAGAACTGCTTAGGAGGGATGGGGATTGTAGAATGGTGCATACGATGAGGGAGGGAAATTTTTTCGCGGATACCCTATCTAAGGAGGCTTAGACCATGGATGTGGAGGTGGAGGTGCTTCGGCTTCCCCTTTTTTAGTTGAGGCAGCCAGACTATTGTTCTCCATCATAGTCTCGTTCCCAGTGTCCTTCTCAACTATCATCTCTTTATTTTGCTCTTCCCTTCGTTCCTGCAGTTCACGGCTTCTAACTATCAGTTTCTCTTTAAGTTCAGCTTGTTGGGCCTGGGCGATTTTCGGCCCATTTGTCTTCTCCACTATGCTATCTTTGGTTGACTGCAGATAAGATGCTTGCTCCATATTGGGCTTTGACGACACAGGCTTTAGCCCATTCCTTGAAAGGCCTGTTTTAATTACCCACATTATTAATATGATTCCCCTTTGACTTCTCCCCTATTTCATGCATTCCCAATTTCACGGGATTTTCAACTTCATTTCCTTCCTTATCATTATCCCCTTCCAAATCTACCAAAGCATGAAATCCCGATCCCGTATTTCCCGCCGCAGTATCTCTTTCCTTTCCATTTTGAACTTCTTTACCCCGCGTTGACTTCCTCCGCCGATTCAATGCTATCATCCACGGCCCAAACTCCCCCGTAGGAACCGCCGCCGACGGTGCTTTCTCTCTTTCTGTACCATTCTCCGCTACCCCTGCTTCACCTTGTGCCACATTGTCAACTTATTTTGAAGCAAAAGGACAGACACGGTGACCAATTCTTCCACACTGGAAACATATTAATGGCAAACCTTCATATTCAACATGTTGCCAACGATCATCCAAACAAATCCGAGGCACTAAGGGTTTGTTCAACTCAATCTCCACACACACACGAGCGAAACGCGCTTTGTACGCCATTGCCCATCCTCTGAGCTTAACGGCCCCGCAGCTAAGAGTGCCGCGTTGTACCTAATAGCGGGGAGGCGAAGAACGCTAGCTGTATGATGGGACATTTGACTGAAGGGACTACAAGACGCCGGACATTAAGGGGGGGCACGAGCTAACAACGCTCGACCAGACTGAACAACTACGCTAATATCATCCGTACAGGGTGCTGTTTAGGGGTGCCAGCTTAACCGAGATAGCTTCCCTCCCTTTTCCCCACGATGAGATGACTATCGGGGATGCGACCAAAACCGTTGGCTCCAGACCGTATCAATACCTCCGGAACTGTACCGTGCTTAGGTTTTCACAGTAGGATCTCGTATTTATGGGCCCTCGGAAGAAGGCAAAGGGGCGGGTCTGGTCGAGAAAGATGGGAAAAGAAAGAAAGAAAGCTCTTTTAGCGAGGTAACAAGTGCCGGAAATGGGGAAACTGCCAGGAATGAAAGCGATGGCGGCGATGGGCAAATGCCTGATTTCGCACTTCCAAGATTCCCTGAGGTCGAAAACTAAGCGTTTGAGCAAAGGGATTGCTTGCCCAGGTTTAGAAGATTGGGCACGTTATCCGCTATTTGATTCATTCCCAGAAGGGTAGGAAAAAGACCAACTCGATCGCATATATCCCAAACCCACGAGAGATCTTTTTATGATGGATCACAAGCAAGGAACGGAGTCACTCGACCATAGTACGAGGAACGGAAGAACTCAAGCCCATATCACCAGTTATTTTGCAAAACCAGGTAAAGGGATGACGGATAGAAGACAAGGTTTAGCCCGGATAAAATGATCGAATCCGCCTTTTCCGTAGGCAGGGATCCACTCCACTCTATCGCCGGGGTGATACTTGAGACTTTTATGCGGACGTCTGACGAGGCTGGCCCGTCCCGACTTCGTCTTACTCGTTCAAAACCTTAGCCATTAAGTTCTTCCTCTTCTTTTAGTGTGGATGCCTGCC